CGACAAAACTTTACTATGTATTGCAACTTATTCATTGCGCAAGATTCTATATACAACGCTTTCATTGGATTTTCGCTACTTTCATATGGTCTTCGACTTTTGAGCCCATGCGTCGTGATAATATATTCAAGCCAGTTAGTGAGGGTGGGTTAGGACTAAAACACCTTTATCTATGGCAAATAGTGTCCCGATTCTTCTTTTTTCGAGACAATTCCCATCCTGTAATCCGTTCCTTCTTGCAGGTTACACTTGTTGATTGCTTACCAGGTTTAATTGTTTCATCCAACTTCTCCGAACGCCCATGCTTGTGGGGATTCATGCAGGAAGTTTACCTCGCAGTTCAGTTCCTTAAAGCTCGCTTCTCTGTAGAATACCTGTACTCAGTATCGCGCAAGGTGCTGTATAAGGACCTACTGAGTACACTCTTCACACCTCCATTGTACCGTTCACTGTACGCCAATCTTCCAGGTCACGATGTGTTGAAGCGAGTGCGCAAAATGTACATTCCACCGAATTCAAAAACATTCTTTAAACTCCACTCTGAAACATTGGCGGTAGACACATGGTTAGAAAGAAAAGGTATTTTCATTCCGTCTGTTAACTGCCGTCTATGTGATGTGCCGGAAACGATTGAACATTGTTTTGTTAGCTGCAAAGATGCCATACTATTTTGGGATGTCCTTCAGCGAGCACTGAAATAACGTTTCGTCATTAATTCTCACACAATACGTTATCTTCTGCCAGCAACACTTGATGAAGTACCATACGATATGTTTTTCCTCATGGGTTTGCGCAGCTTGTGGAAGACACGAATGCAAGACCGCAATGCAGAGCCCACCACCTCTTCAAGCGCACACTTCATTCAAATGGCTATCCACCTAAAAAACATTTACGACGAGCTTGACTTTAGACCGGACTGGTACTCCGTCTTAGAGAACTGTTTGACCTCACCCCTTTTTTGTTTGTATAACAGGATGTGAAGAACTCTCAATGTGAGGAACTCTCGCTGTGTTAGCCATTTAGTGTTTATGAGTAACACTTGAACGCTTACTTTCGCGATTTGATTGTACTTTTGTTCGCTTGATTTTGTCTTTATTGCCCAAGTACTTTAATAAATACCATGAAAAAAAAAAGAGCCGTGGCTCAGTGATTAACGCCTCGCACTCGTGATGCAGAGGACCCACGGAGGAAGGAAAAGGTAAGGAGAGGCCCTGACGTCACTCGTTGTGAAGCCGCGATAAAGCCGGAAGTCGGCCATATTGAGTAGGCAAATTCTCCTCTCTTGTTTACATATGAATGCGAAGCAGAAGGCGCGACTCCCTCTCCGGCTCGGAAAGCACGTGGGCTGCGCAGCGCGTGTGTCGTGACGATCCGAAACTAATGGAACTGGGCTCATCACTCAGAGCCAGCGGGACACCTTCAGCGAAATCGCTTCGTCCGAGTAATAACAAAGAGTAACAGCTCGCTGACAACGAAGCAACTACGAAAGAACGCGCGCTAGATGCACTGACAATGGCGAGTGCTTTCACGTCATTAATTGAGCAACTGTACACACAACACGATCGGTCGTGCGCCTTCTACGGTTGCATTCCGCCACGCGACTGACGCAGCGTCCTGCCACTGTGTCCGTGTTCCGCGTGAAACTCACCTGCGTCAGCATTCTGCGACCGTGGTGACTTTGAGCACGGTGCTAGTGACAGTTGAACGTGGTTGCTGTTACGTTGAGATTACATGAAATGCTGATGGAGAGTGTACCAAGCGGAACAGAAAAGGTGTTTTAATACGCACATGCAAGTTGTTACTGTACACACACAACACGAAACTACGTATGTGCACATGGTCCTCACGGCGTCTTGCTGGGCTCAACAGCGTCGTCCGTTGTCACAAGCAGGAGCACTGCTCAACCGTCACTGACCTGCAAGGCGTTCGTCGTCATTCAGCTTCGTCATGGTGCCCAACGCCATTTCGCTGAACACTAACTGCTTCATCCGCCGCACGACACATGGATATGCACTTGTTCTACGCACTGTTGAAAACCCGTGATGGACAAAGAGATTTGTAAACGTTGCTAAGAGTAATGTAACAGCCAGACGAACACTGCGTAACCAATAACGCGGCGCCGAGCACAGATATTGTCCGCCACGGCTCAGCACGAGACCTGCGGAGGCACACATTCCGCCGCCAGCCGCGGCCGCTCACTGCTAGACCAGCTTCACTGCGCAACACGTAACCATAACAACGCCGCCATTGCGCCTACTGAATATGGCCGCCATGATGTCATTTCCGCCACATTTTTTACGCCCTGCGCCGGCTGGGCATGCCCTCTCCTTACCTTTTTCCTTCCTCCGTGCAGAGGACCCAAGTTCGACTCCTTCGTGGGCCGTGAGTGTAAATATCGTTGTCTGACTGAACAAGCCAAGAAAAAATTGCACAATTTCACCGGGTAATTTCAATAAACAAATATCACGTTTTTTTTTTCATGTATTGTTTAACTTTGTGAGAGACAGTATTCCTTGTTTACATGTATATTGCTGAATTTACGATTGTCAATAAACAATGTAAGCTTACTTGCTTGGCGTGTTTTTTGCCACTTGAGGCCTCTCGGTCACCTGGCGGCATAGCGGAAATATTTATAGTAACGTTAAGGTGTTGTGTGCGCGAATACCACCCCGCAATAGCAGCAAATAAACGCCCATAAACCTGCTGGCGCGCACCACGACCCCATGCACCTGCTACCAAAACAACCGCCTTATTTGCCCTAACGCAATGATGATGATAGGCCTACCAGCGCCGTCTCTAGGTCGGATAAGTTAGTTCACAACGCCACCGCTACTCTTATTTCGTCGCACAAGGTGTTCTGCACAACTGGTTGCACCATCGTATGGTCTAAATGGTAGTGTATAGGTGTTCTGGCAAGGTTCTTTTTGGTATGGTGCTCTTCAGTGACTGCCCGGTTTGCGGCAAAGAAACAGACCAACGTCCTTACCTTTCCTTCCTCCGTGGGCAAGGTTCTGTTTGGCGTGGCTACAGTGTCTAGAAAAATCTGCTTAGTGTGCTGAGCGCGGGCAAGGAGATGGCTCCATCCACGGAGGAAGGAAAGTGGCTCCATCACTGATGACTGCCGATGGCGACCGCTTGGTGCGCTGCGACACGAGTGGGTGCATCTGCGTTCAATCCGCGCGATCCGCAAGCGCTGCGAAGCTTTCAGTAGGCCGAGGACAACTTTCATTTTTTCTGTATTTTCGGAGAGTTCTTTACAAAACGCTTTATTGTGCAATGCCTACGCGACTGCTTTCACAGTACTCGTATTTAGCAATATCAAAGGAAGATAATGTCGTAATTTACACCTCACCGTTGCCTGCCGCACACAAAACACACACGCACACCCCGTATTGCCATCGTCGACTGCTGACGACGACTCGGGGAACGTCAACTCGACATTTCGCTTCCGTTCTTTAGGTGCCGGTCCTTGATCACAGAGGTTTCAAACTTTCCTTTTGACCGTTTTCTTAGGTACAAGATGTGTTGAGTAATTTGCGAACACTGTATGGACAGCATCGGGCTTCAGGCGTGGCTTCTCTCGGGCGATTTCATTCGCGACACCGTTCACCGTAATCTGAAAAGATCGTTCGATGCAGTCACTGTTAAAATGTCGTTCGCAAACGACAGCCTTCTGCCTGCCCTCTTGATCCTGCTTTTCCATTCTGCAAGCCGTGCTGGGTCCATCGGTGCGGTGAACAAAGATATTCTTTCCTCGTTCAACCGATAACCGCTTCGACACAGAGGCACAAAACATTGCATTACCCCTTAGCCTTTAACATCTCAGTATGTTGCTGCTCACATCTGGCAAAATACGACAGATAACAGCTGTCAAACACTTATCTTACTCGTAGCGAGGCTCCGGCAGCAATTGGACGAGAAAACTTCTTCGCACAATCAGGCACTCACTCGATTCGAAGCGCCGCTTGCAGTAACTGAGCGCAGTCATCACTTGTCGAACCACCCTCCCTCGAACAAAATGCGCGCGCTCAGCACACTAGGTAGTATTTTGTATTTTTCTAGACACTGTAGCGTTGCTACACTGTACTAGAAGAGGGCAGTGGGCTTACTCGCCGCTACTCTGACGCATTTGGCGTCACATAGGAGAGATGACGCCACAGGCATCTTCAATGGAAGCTTCACCTGCAGAAGCTGCTCGCCGATGGCCGCTCGTAAAAGTTGGAACGTGCATTTATTCGATATTTGTAATAAACTTGCATGCCTCTGATTATATTAGGAGCTTCTGGTGCTCTCGCTTCACAGTGTTTCCCTTTTCTTTTGCGATACAGCTTCCCGAAAATTAGTCCGATGGCAGCCGGCGCAGTCTGTGCATTCTCCTTTCTAGCAACGCTTTTTGTGTGTGTGGCCAGGCTTTATCAAAAAAGCCGTTGTCACGGAAGCTTTTGAAGCGTTAAAAAGCTTGCACTTAACTAGTACTGACTCATTTGTTTTTATTTTTGTCTTTTGTTCATATAAAATTGTTATGTCTTGTTTCATCACTTCAACCTGCGAATTCCACTTATATTTTGATCGGGATCGATATTCGGCAAAGCGCTCCTTCGAGCGCTTGCAAACAAAGAATAAGACACTTTACGACGTGTTTTTTTTTAATACGTTACCAAAATAAACGCATGAATGCGAAATTACCGAATACGAAGAAAAGTAATGGCATAAAATTGGAAAAAACCAGAGGCTGCGCCACATCCAAGAGTAGCAATCAAGCAAAGAGAAGTCACGCGAGAGCACGGAAACCTTTCCTTCCTCCGTGCGCGAGAGGGTAATTACCTGACGTTACCACGCGGTCACTCGAAGAAATAGAGTGCCAATCGTAGAGCAATGGAAACGCACGCCACGCAACAGGCACAGAAAAAAAATAGAAAAAACGCTGGTGAAAGTGATAGAGGAAAAAAAAAAAGGTGAATTCATGGGTGAAGCTGCTGTAGCGCTGCTGCGTGTTTTACAGAATCTCTTTACCTTCTTATTGCGCAGAATATTGCAACAGCAGGAGAGATAATTTGACGTTGGGTGCTACACGACACACCTTTAAGGACAGCCCTTTGAGGTGGTAACGTCTACGTTACGAATTTTTCTAGTTTCGGTTCCGGCAACCCTGTAGAAAAGCAGCGAAAGCAGCCCGTGGCTCCGCGACGGCACGTCCCAAATGTGAGCTTGTTTTTATATTCTCTGCAAGCTTTCTTTCAATCTCAGTACCCTTGGAAACACTTCCCAATGTTAACAGTGCCCTTTTCATGTTTGTAACGCCGTCTTATTTCTATCAGGTCGAAGGTGACGTTCAAGATAACTCTGACGTCGGACCCGAAGCTTCCTTACAAGGTGTAAGTGCCTTCTCATTTCATATCTCACTGTTGGCATCGTAAAAAGTCTGATTTCAAGTATAATATAACGTTATCATTTTATACGCTGTCTCGCTCATGGTGACGGTCGCCACAGTTGTGCTTCCTGGCTTGACATATGTCACAGGTTTGCCTACATCGTGCCCATTCCTTTTCAGCCTCTGCGTTCCTGAATGCACGCCTTTTACAGCAGTGTTAAAGTTCGCAGCCGAAGAAGTGAGTGCATTTCATGTCTTGCTGATCAAGATGTCCCAATTCGGGTTATTTGCAGGTGCATTCGCGCGATATGTGTATGGCTTTAATTTCAATCGGCTAAGCGTGCTATTTTCTTTTTTTTTCCCCTTGTGCTTGTAGTTCAAAGTACCACCAGCCACCAGCGCTATTATCACTGATGACGGAATCGGCATAAACCCTGCTGACACTGCTGGTATGCGTATCGTTTCATTATAAATAATGTTATGTGCACTACAAAGGGCGCCGCCACAGGAATTCAATTCTATATGCACGTGATTGACAGCAAAGGTGCACTAGCTTCCCCAGTGTCGTTGGTTAGTCCGTATTACAGTACCTAGAATTCTTGAAGTGTGATTACCACCAAGCGGCGCGTATGCGAACCAGAGTTGCTAGTTGCCGCCGAGCAAACAAGCGAAGAGCCACACGAAAACAAGTCCCCCCCTCCCCCCACCAAAAAAAAAGGAAAAAAAAAGCGGCGGCCTGAATAAGCCTAAAATAGCCGGAAGTTACAAATGTTCATATTCTTGTAAACTGCATTGTAGTGCAGAAAAAAAATACGAGTACATCTGCAAGTGCGAATGTCACCCTTGCAATACTTGCATGCAGCTTTTTTATTCTCTCTAGTGGCTGGACGAAATCAGTCCTTTAGCTTCGGTTCCTTTTCTCACTCTTTGCAATACTTCTTGCCGTACTTTGACCACCTTGAAGCCATAGCAATGGCTCGAGGACACACAAGGATGGGACACACCGGTCAGTGCAGAATAACAACTGATCTTTATTCACTAAGAAACCACAAGATATACTCTCTTTCAACACCTCATGAACACAGTGCATGAGCAAATCGGCATCCTACAATCATTGACATAAACTGACCTTTACAATAGAAGGTGTAATCTCACATCTTGTTCAACTATTCAATTTCTTCATCATTCAGCAGAACCGAAACATGTCCTTATGATGCGAGATTACACCAGTTTTATCAGTTTATGTGAGTGATTGTAGGATGCTGATTTGCTTATGCACTGTGTTCACGAGGTGTTGAAAAAGAGTATACTTGTGGTTCCTTAGTGAATAAAGATCGGTTGTTAGTCTGCGCTAGTCTGGTGTGTTCTTTCTTGTGTGTGCATTAAAGTTCCAGTTTGCTAAAGTGCTGACTGGTGTAGGGAAGCGTAGTTTTGCTGTGTTTTTGATAACAAATTGCATGTAGGGCGATGCAACATTATTTTTCAAAAAAGCACAGGTAAAAACTTGACAAGCGACCATAAAAATTTGCAACCGTCTCAGCAAGAAAAAAAGCCTAGATCTGCTTATAATAAGCGGAACTGGCAACTTTTATGAGAACCCTTGAGGTTGCTTGGCGATGCATCCATTGGGTGGTGCACTCTCCCACATACACGTCAGGCCACCACAAGAGACGGATTTTTGCATACTCGGTTGCGCACAGTCTACTGTTATTTTCGTTCAAATCATGCCTTGAGTAGTGACGATGACCCAGTGAAAAAGTCCACTGATTTTGGCCGAGCAAATTTACATTCTCCCCAGAGTGACTCCCACTCTGAATCTGCTCCCCCCCCCCCCCCCCGACTCTAATTGACTCCCATCCTCACCCTTGTGACTGGAACACACTTGCTCCAAAACAAGCGAAAAAACTGGCCCAGACACCGCTATTAGAAATCAACATTGATTACCACATAGGGCACCTCCCCCCCCCTCCCAATCCCCCCCAAAAATGCTTCAGATCAGTCCTGTCTGCAGCTGACTAGAGGAAATCGTTATAAATCCTAATAGGCTAGTAAATAATCACAGTGTCATTTAGCAAAGTCACGCAAATTTTATTCCTTGGTTGATAGCTATACATCTGCGAGCTGTGTGTGACTGCTGACTTAGGCAAATACTTATGCAGCTTTTCCAATCGGCTTCATATAACCACATGGTATCGGCACACTCTGTTGTCCAATCTACAGAGGTTTTTGTTGTTTCTTTTTTTTCCCTTGTGCAGGTAACATCTTCCTTAAGCATGGATCAGAACTTCGCCTCATTCCCAGGGATAGGGTCGGACATTCCAGATGACCAGACATTGCAGATGTATTTTATGCAGTGCGCCCACATTTTCTGGAGGAAAGGTTTTTTGACACAAGCATTATGAATAATAAATGACAAAATCTGCTTCTGTGCGTCATCAAAAAAACTGCAAATGGTGCAACAATGCCGATCTTACTCTGGACTTTGTGAAGTTGTAGGTGCTTTATGTACAAGTAAGATAACAAATGGTCAGCAAACACAGGTCTACCCTCATTGTCCCGCATTTAACAGTTTGAACACCTATCTGTACGGGTAGAATTCCAAGGCGAATTGCACCCTGCCCATAGCTTCAATGAATTCCTCTCGGTCATTCAAAAAATGTTTAATTTGCCCTGTGCTCTGTGAATTATATTCAGCTCTGTCTAAACCGAACCCAGAACAGCAGTAGCCCATATTATTTGCAAACTTTTTTTAGCATGGTCAAGAAAACACTGCCGTTCAGTAGTCCTGGCTGATGAGAACTTGTGAACCAGACATTGCAGTAGAGCATGGAATTAACTATTCTCAAATTCAGCCAAAAATTTCTCTCCCTTCTCTCAACAAATGATGCCACAAACTAGAGTTCACAGCCATTGGTCGGTTTGAGCACTGTGACTGCTGTATAATGGCTCGACGTGCTTGCGATATCACAAAAGGTAAACCATGAATTCAAAAAATAACTTAAAAAATGCAGCAGATCCTACAAACCTTGGGGATTGATGTGATACGAAGCATGCAGATGTAAGGTGACTGTGTTTCTTTATTGAGTGACGTGTTGCATGGTGGTGCTAAATATATGTACAAATGCATGCACAGACATACATTGAACAGCCACATATGTTTCATATTAGCAGTTGTTTACAGTTGCAAATTGATGCCAACACTATAGATATTAGCGACACCAGAAGCAGTGAGCAGATGTGAAGCGCTGGTGCTCGCGAGGATGGTAGCCCTGAACACTGCTACGTAAATCAACTTCAGTGAATGGCGCCTAATTATAATCGACATTAACCCAACATGACGGCTGTATTATACGAGAGCATATATGATGTCTATAAAATTTAATAGTCAGTACTGCAACCACAATTGATGTTTCACGAACATTAGGGTCTATTTGAAAGGTAGTTCAGAAACCTGGTGTGGCTCTGTGGTAGAATACTCGATTGTCACGCATAATGCTAGGGTTCAATTCCTGCTGGGATTCTGACATTCTTTTCATTCGTCCAGTCAATGTTGCTGATGTCAGCTTATTCTCAACACTTAATACTGACTTGCTGAAATTGCCCATGTGTGTTCTCATTAATCCTGGGTAGATATAAACTTTCAATCACCTGCCCTCGGGTATGTGCCATTGTCTGGCGAAAAGTGTTTGGCGACGTACGCAACGGATTGTGACATCACCTGTCCCCGGCATTTTCTTGGTGTTCCACTCGCTATCGTCTATCGCTGCAGCCATTCGCATACTCTCTGCGTTTCAACCGTTTTTTACAAAACGATTTTCAAACGTCTTCACGAGACGATTTTCAACTGCCTTTATGAGACTGTTGTTGCATTCGCTCACGATGTGTCCAACGAAAAGGAAGACGCAAAAAATGCTCAGTGCAAGGAAGCGATCTATGAAGATTGTCCGTATAACGAGGCTCTGCGCTCGCATGTGCGCCGACAGTACATGTGGGACAGCTTCTGCTTCATCTATGCAAGGATGTGGTTGCATTGACGCGCCTAGACACGAGACTCCAGCTCCACTGGTGCAAAAATTTCACGTTGCAAGTGCACCTGGTGTCTCGTGCTCATCGACAGAGGTTTCCACATCATCTCTTTCATCAGCCTCCGAGAGTGCGATCCCGTTATCAACTGTGCATTTGCGAACACGTTTTCTGGCGTGCAAAGAGAAAGAGGCGGCAGATCAACAACGCGCTGCTGTTCAAAGACGAAGTGGAAATTTTAGGCAATGGAGCAGGATCATGAAGCTGCCACCACTACAAGTGAAGGTGAAAAATTTCTTGTGCAAATGAATCGCTAAAAATGCTAAGAAGAGATTTTTCGAGAAAACAGAAAGGCGGTGAAGACAAAGAGTGCAAAAGGACACCTGCAGTCATGCTGCAGGGTTTTGATTTGCATATGTGCCCAAAACTTTCAAATGTCATTTTCTCAAAACTACTTTTTGGCTAGTGAGGCTGCTTGTTCCAGCCATATCTGAGGAACCACTGATCCTAGTTTCATAGGTCATTTTTTATTATTTACGTGAATAAATTTATGAGGGGGAGACAAGCCCATTGTTTCGTTATATTGTCTGATATTTATGATGCCTAGTCAAAATTTGATAATATCCTAATCACCAACCCTAGATTTGATGGACTGCTAAAACTTTCCAGTAGGGAAATTCAAAATAAGAGCTCCGTTACCCCCTGAGGTGTCAATCTGGGAATCATAATTGTTAATTTCACAGTTCCAGCATCTTTTGTAGGTTCTTCAGGCCTGGAATAAGAGAACCTTGTGCACTATTCTGACATACTGCTGTAACTGGAGAACCAGTGAACATGACTTCATGAAATTCTGTAGTACTAATGCTTTTGTTATTAGTATATTCTAAAAGTATCATTGAGATATATCAATAAACAAAAAAGTTTGGTAGCCCTCCCCTTAAGGTGGTAGCCTCCCCTATAAGGGGATGGTATAATTACGAGAGCACCCACATGTAGGCAGACAGATACGATCGACAACCGATAATTCAGACTCCACGGGGAACGTACAGAAGTCCGAATTATCGAATGTCCAAATAAACGAATGTGTCAGAAAAAAAACCAACTTGTTGACACTTTAGTGACCCAGTGGCTAGAAAAAGCTGGCAATGTGTTGCCGCACGGACTTCCGTTTACGTGCAACCAAGTCAGTCTGTATTTCTGCCAATGTGGTGTGCTCACTGTAGGAACACAGGTACAGTGTACTATACTCCGTTTCATACATCAGGTGCAACGCTGTGGAAGGTAGCGAGAGTTCTTGCAGTCAATGCGTTCGCAACAAAAAGTACTTCGATGTTAATTCTTACCATCAAAAATTCAATTTTTCTTTCGTTTTGGAGTGAGAAGTCATTGAAAATATTATTAAAACGTCATTGAAAGTCTGTTATTATGTGGCTGTATATCTTAGTTTCCCCGTGACGTCACATACAGGCTCTCTACTGTGGGTACATCACGATGGCGGCCACCTGGACATTCAGTGTCGGTGCAGGATAAAACACGACAGGGTCGTTCTGTACCTGCGCTCTTTTGTGCTCACCCCACTTTCTTCTGTTCGCGACTACGCACTCTCTTGTGCGCATCCGGCATTCCTCTGTTCGCGCCAAAGGGGAGCACTAAGAAACGTGAGCATGCACCGGCATTAATCGGATATCCTGCGAGCGATCACGAAACGCGCGGATTTGTACGTTTTGCTGGCCGAGCTTCTTGCATAGCTTCCACAGCGATGCACCATAGAATAAAGAACCAATGATTGCACCTGATCACTTCGCCATAAAGTTTCCTAAATATGCACTAGAGGGAGAGAGAGAGAGAGAGAATGAAATATTTATTGATAATAAATAAGCCACTGTAGTGGTTGGACCTCCTCGTCCGGAAGACCATTGGCTATTGCCGCTGTCCGGGCTCGGTGGACCAGGGCCTGTTGCTGCACTGGGTCAGAGTTGGGCAGGGTCACCTCCCACTCGACTATTTGTAGGATTATGATTGGCTGATATACTGGGATTGTTTTGGCAATCACAGACCATATGAAATAAAGTGGCCGTCTGGGGACAGAACTTACACTGCGAATTGTACATCGAAGGGTCTATCTTGAACAATAAATAAGGATTTGGAAATGCTGATGATTGTAGTCGTCTCCATGCGAACTGCGATGCTTTATCTAATTTGAGGTCAGGTGTGGATAGAGTGCATCTACTCAGCCTAATGTGTTGCAGGATGTCAATATAGGAAAGGAGGGGCTGTGGATCGTCCTGGTCAGCAAGAAGGTGCGCTGTGGATGAAGCAATGGAGGCCCAGTGTAAGAGATCGCGGGCGGAGGCATGAGCGTGTTCATTGCCTCTAACTCCTGTGTGCCCTGGTACCCATAGCAGTTGCATCCACTGGCCCTCCTGACGACGGGCCACAACCTGTTGCAGAATTGAATGCGCTAATCGGCCGACTTGAACTCTGGCGAAATTGCGATACGCCGCCTGGGAATCCGTGAGGACAAAGATGGCTTTTGGGTTACGCATGGCCAAGGCTATACTCACCTCTTCCATGGATGTTATTCCTACTCCGCTAGCTGAGGTGCAGTTCACGACCTACCACCTATTTACCACGGCAGCCATGGCGCAGTTGTGCAGGGGTCCTGCGGCATTCACAAAGAAGGCCTCTTCACAATCTGAATATTTGTCATATATTTTAGCTCTGGCAGCTCCTCTGTTCTTGTGATGGACGGGGTGCATATGACGTGGCAGAGGCTGAATATGGACTTTCCTTTGCCATTCATGTGGTAGTGATAAATTACCGGCGACCTACATGGGTAGATTTATTCCGAAAGCATCTAGCGTGGCACGACCTGCCTTGGTACGTGCGAGCTGAATCACTCGATTTGTGTGATGAGCTTCGAAAAGCTCTGATGCTGTATTGTATATGCCCATCGCAAGCAATCTGTCATTCATGGCCCATGGGGGTAGATTGAGGGCTTTCCGATATGAAAGCCGTAGTAGACGGTCTAATTTGTGTTCATAATTTTTCAGGATGCGCAGATATGGAAAGCTGTAAGTGACGCGACCGATTACGAAGGCTTGTACAAGATGCAATATGTCCGCTTCCTTCATGCCTTGATGTCGATTGGCAATCTTAGATAGCATACACGAGATATTTGTGCAGGTAATACATAACTTTCTGATCGCTACCTTGTTCTTGCCCTGATTATTAATGTGCGCTTAGAGGGACGCCCTAGTGGAGGGCTCCGGAAATTTCGACCACGTGGGGTTCTTTAACGTGCACCCAAATCTGAGCACACGGGCCTGTAACATTTCCGCCTCCATCGAAAATGCAGCCGCCGCAGGCAAGATTTGATCCCGCGACCTGCGGGTCAGCAG